ATTCACATCCATGCACATCCACATGCAAGGACACCTTTACACACATTCACGCATATTCACATCCATTTACACTCACATTTCCACAAACCACACATACTTATGCACATATACATATACACATTCATAGACATGCAGCCATATTTACATTCACACATGCACATTTACTCACATTTACATATATGCACACATTTGCACACAAATTTACTGCTATTCATATATGCACATACATTCACCCGCATATTCACTAATAGATGTATGTTCGTTGACACACATCCACATACACATATTCATATACACGTATTCACACATTCATACACATTCTCACATCACATGTGCACACACATACAGATGCATGCAAATGCACCTACCCACATATGCATTCATGTGAATTTATGAGCAATGGAGTACTAAAATGCAACATCTCCCTCTCAGGTGTGCACCCAGACGAGCTAATGGAGGAGCCATCGTGGACGAGATTAATGTCCCTGCTGGAGTTGATAGAGAGTCAGCTCCATTCCCATTACCAGGTTTACAGGAGGAAGCAAGAAAAAAGCCTAAAGAAAGACCTAGTGGCCATTGCATGTCTTCCAAGTTTAGAGAAATGGCTGACAGATTTTGATGATGATCAGGCCAGTGATTATGACAGTTTTAAGACTAAAAAAATAAAAAAGGAACAGCAACTGGTCGACGAAGCCAAAAAGCTTGAGGAACTGTTACAGATTGAAGGAAAGCCCACGGAGGAAGCAGGCCAACAAGGATGGAATGCAGAACAAATTCAAGCAGATGGGGACAGCAGCTCAGAATCAGATGAGTCTTGTGTGGAGATAACACCACTTGTGAAAGAGGAATCAGATATAAATGCCTGTGAAATTATAAGGCAGAAAAAGCCAGTCAAAATTACAGCCAAAGAACATAACACAGGGAAAGATAAATCTGATAACCATAAAAGGAAAGGCAGAAACAAGAATGATGGTAAAGGAAAGTCATATTGTAAAGAGGCAGAAGTGAGCCACATAAAACAACATAGAGGAACAGAGAGCAGTGATGCAGGGAAGTTGGAGAAATCTGACTCCCAAGTTAATGAAGCTAAGCCAAATGAATATTTTCAACCTCCAGCTTGTGTTGACAGATCTGTTAATAGCCCTTCTGAAGACATACAAATCCTTGGAGACAAAAATTTAAATGATGTTCATAACTTAACCAAACCTGCAAAGACAGAAGTCAGAATAGACAGTCAGAATGATTTGATGGACATAGATAATTTCTCTTTCCATGTCGAAGGAATGAGTGAGGGGGATGACCCTATCATGGCCATACTAAAGGATATGAAGCCACGTGCCAAAATTGACTGTTTAGATAATAGTTTTTCCACTGGAGAATTAGACATGTTACCATTGGAGATTCAGCATGAAAATCCAATAGATGACACTCTTCAGAATCCCCAATGTTTAACTGGAATCCATGAAGATCTAGAATTACTTAGTGATTCCTCTGATGATGCATTTGATAGCAGACCAAAGAAACTTTTGACGCAAGAGTCTCAAGGATTTCTAATTGATTCATGTGAACAAAGCAAGAGCTCTCTGATGAGCCAGGATGCTTTTGCTGAGAATTCTTCAGATGATATTGTTGATATAAAACGAGTGAAGAAGTTACTGAGTCGTAATGTCCTTTCATCCCAGGGTTTCTCCTTTGACATGGATGAAGTTAGTGCAAATTCAGAAGGTAAAAATGACAAAGAAAACATAGGGACTGGGAATTTCCTTGAAATAGAAAAAGTAGGCTCTGAAACAGAAAAACATACACAGAGAGATACATGGGATTTGAGCTTATCTGAAGATGATGGGCAATGCATGTCAAGATGTACAGAGCTTAATGGCCAAGTAATAGGAAATAGTAATACAGATACAGTAAGTGAGGTTGCAAATGAAGAAGAATTTGTTACCAAAAAAGATAATACTTTTGTTGGTGACTGGAAGGAGTCCCACAAAGAATTTGAAGGGGAAGAGCTAGTGAAAGAAGACAGAAATTCAAAACATGATAAAGATGGTATACATACCAATAACAGCAAAGCAACAATAGACTGTGGACAGAGAAAATTGTCAGTGCAGGAAACATTGATAAGGAGAACTTGTTCAAGAGATCTAAGCAGTAATTCTTTAGGAGCAAACGCATTAGATATAGAACTGCAAGAAGATAAATTAGTCCAAGAACTTATGGAGCCAAGTAAAAAAATAATTGAACACAGCTTAAGTAATGACCAGCAGTCTCAGCAGAGCTCGCAAGAAAAAAGTAGTGTTTCTGCAGATTGCTGTGTATCTGAAGGAGAAAACAATATTACTGTTAAAAGTAGTAACGGGTCATTTTCTAGTCATCCTCAACAAGTATTTGATCAAAATCTAAACCAGGAAAGCACAATGGCATCCTTGCATGAAGAAGGAATATTTTCAAATTCCATACAACCGAAAGATATGAAAGATATGGAGTGCAGCAGTACAAA